TAAAAAAGTAAATCAGAGCTAAAAAAGTGCAAAAACACAGGCAAATTTGCCTGCGTTGGTCTACATATTAAGGGATAGATTTTTTTTAAATATCAATCTGCCTGATTTCTATTGACAGCAGCCTATATGAATGCAGTGCTCTATAATAAAAATATCTTTTCATGTCTTGCTTTATTCTGTGTTGTTTATGTTAATTTTTGCTTTCACCCATTGTCTTTTAAAGGTGCTCTCAAGCATCTCTTTCTATGTGATTGGCTAATGATTGATATCGTACACAAGTATTACTGCTACGATTAATTTAAGTAATCCTGGAAAATTCATATTGCACAACTCTATAATAAAAAAAGTTATTTATTCATCGCACTTGACCGGCTAAACTGTTTTTTCCACTAATTAAAAATCTAGTTCTGATCTATGAATTTAGGTGTTTGAGAGCACCCTTAACTCCGAGCCTACTGTAAAATTTTTTTTTTTTCAGCGTTAGAAGATCAGTGAATCTGCCAAGAACTATTACATGTTATTTTTTTTATTTCTTTTTGTCTTTTATATTTTGTTTTGTCTTACTAATGTTTTATACTTTTTAGGTTTAGGTGTTTATAACTTGTTGCTCTTTGGAAGTTTGTCTTCTTTTTGCTATTCATCTTCGAGATTATGATTTCCAAGAAGAATCGTGAGAAGGCAATGATTTGGTTTGGATGAACAGAAAATGTCTAATGGTAAATAAATTTACAGATTCTCTTTTTTTTGTCTTGTGATTTAATTTTTTTTCTTCTCAACAACAACTAACACTTTCTTTTTGTAGATCTAACTTTCATTGAAATTGAAATTAGCGGTAGAATAAGGGGAATCTAAAACAACGTGTATAAATATTACTTTGTATTTTCTATTATTAATATTATTGTACTGTATGTATAACGAATTTCAAATGTGAAATGAAACATTCTATTTTCTCTTTGTTACAGTATTAGTCAAGACCTAAGATTCAACATAAACTTGGATTGATGTAAGTTAGAATGTCTTATCATTTTATTCTTTTAGTAATGCTTGAATGGCATGAGGCTGGACAATGTAGAATTCTAGAATTATGTAACATTGATTCTTCTTATATTCTGTATTATTATTTATATGCTTGGTTTTTTGTGCCTTTAATAATTTTCTTTTTATAGAGTACTTTACATTGTGATCATGATGATGAAAATATATGACTGTGAGTAGGGTTTGAGCTGATAGCCATTTAGGGCTATACAAAAGTGTACAATTTTTTAGTAAAATGTTTTATCATTTAACATTTCATTCTAGAATTTTGTTAATAAATTCAGGTTGTAATCGGTTGCAAATATTTATTGCTCGATTTTGGTTTGATATCAAAGGTTTTTATCCAGGTTATTTCTCACTATAATTTTTCCAAAGTTATACTATTGGCCACTATATACAGTACCCAGGATCTTATTCAAGAACTCCATTTTTAAAATTGAATAGTACCCATGAAGAACGGTACTATATTTGGGGAATATTATATTAATATAGTTATACCCCTGGGTCTTATTCAAGAAACAGGACGATAAGGATGGGCCAGGTCTTAATCATGGGATATTATTTTGGGGGATGCTATATACAGTGGTTATTGGCTTTTTACATAAACAATATCTGGCGATATGTAAAGTAAGGCCCCATAAATATGCTGTACGTACTTCAAAATTGAATCTTGTAGATTCTACGATTCTGTTGGATAAAGAATTCAAATTCCACTTAATAAGTGAATTTAGAATTAAAAAAAAAAAAACTAGGAAATTTTATAAAATTTGCTTTTTTTATTTTACTATTTAAAACCTTATATTCAATTTGAAGATAATAGTTCTTTTGGATACTGATCCATCGAAAGCTAAGACCACCTAATTCATATGATTCATACAAGGATTGCATAGTGTTCTTGCAAAAGCCCACCAATATTTTTTTCATTTGATAGATTTATAAGTTTGTTTTAATATTCAAAGGAGTTAGAGTAGTGCTCCCGCGAAATACATCTGTCAATTCTTCCAATTTAAACTTATCATAATAAAAAATTGTGTTTATTATCTCTCTTCTTGTATTTTATTCATTTTTAAAACAACCTTACCAGTAGTTCTGCTACCTGCAAAAGGTCTAAAACTAGACCGTTAGAAGGGTATCAGAGTTGAAGAATTTTAGTAAATAGTTTGAGAGGTTTAACGCCAATTAATTGTTTGTCTATTCTTTCTGACTAAAACCCAAAGAAGTCAGTAGTATTTTTATGAAGTACTCTCTTAGTACTTTTCTTCTTTATTTCAATGTAGTTATAGTGGTGTCTTTATAAAGTGTATTCGACCCTCTGATCAGAGTTTGTTGGTGCCAAATTCAAAAAAAATACTTTTTATAGTTAAAGTTTATTTCAAAAGAAATCGGGAGGTATTTTTGCAAAATTCTGAATTTATTCCAACTATAATTAAAGTTTTCCTATTTATTAAGATTTTCCTTTACTGTTTAATCTAATACAAGTGATAAATTTAGACTAAAAAATAAAAGGCTACATTATAATAATTTATTGTTATTGATTGTAATTTGTGGTTAAAGAGTAAATTTTAATCAAGAGTGTGAAAATCTTTAAAACATGAGTATTCTTTGTTACAATACAGTGCAACATCATACTTACTGCACCATATATTAGATTGGAGTGGATTCTGTAAAGCCGGCTTGTTTTTTTTTTCGTATATACTGGCACTACAGACAAGCTCTCCTTTTTTTATATTCCGAAAAATGATTATTGCCAACAAATCGACTTAATGGTAATTTAAAATTTTCAAAAACTCAGGCTTTTTTACTTTCAGCTTCTTTATCAACCTGGCTCTGTTCTTCACTTCATGTCGTACGTTTAAGAGAATTAATTGCTGCATCCTTGATTAGAGCACGAACCAATTCTAATCTAAAGCTTTTATGTTCTTTACATAAAGTCAAATTTTTACTCATAATAAATGAATTTACAAGAGCTGTATCTAACAACCAGAAAAAAAGGGGCATCCATGTTCTACAAACTATTAACTGGGTTGAATAGTAGCTACGGAGTTGGTCTGCAATATTTATAGCGCCCATGTGAAAGTTATAGTCATTTACTACTTTTGGAATTGGTAAACTTTTACGAAATGAACCTCCAAATACCAATCTTATTTTTTGGCTATTTATATTTGTTTCTCTTGGTCACCTCCAGTCTCTTTTAATTCCACTATCTTCTCCTTCAATTACATGAATTGTTGTAAGTATAGTAACTGGTCTGTTGTTAATTCATAATAGTGCTAGTACATTATTAACAACTACACCTTTTAAAAAATCCTACTCCAGATCTTTTTTTTCTTTTTCTTTTTTTAAAGTAATAGGAAATTTTGCTGTATTGATACAAATGGTACTATATGCATCATATCCTTCTTTTTAAAGAAAATTAAACAAGTTAACACTAGAAAAATAATTATTCATAAAAATGTTAAATGCCTTTTGTGCTGGGAGTTGTTTTACAAGATGATACACTTCTAAACCCGTTTTATTAATATTAGAAATCAGATCAACATGTGAAGATTCTATTCTTGATGTAAACATAAATGAATAAGTGTATCCAGACTCGCATAATGATAAAATTCGATAATCTTCAGGTGTTGGCTTGTTTTTAATTCGAAAAGTATGAGCGCTTCTCCCTGAGAAGCATACAATCATTTCATCTATAGCAAGATTCGAAGCAGGAATGTAAAGTTGTTGTGAAACTTTATGAATATGAGATGCTAGTGGTTCTAATTTTGCAAACATATTATTGGTTTCTTATCTAGTACAGTCGAATATATGAATATATTGCTTAATGTTTTATTTAAAATAAAATAAATATTTTAATAAATATACTAAAATGTATTATTTATAAAAAACAATTATAAAAATACTTATCTGTTGAAATCATAACAGAGTCATAAAATTTGTTATTTTATGTGAGGGATAAAACATATCTTTATTCCAATAATCATAAACAGCTGGAAACTTAAAAATTCCTATATATATTACTAATGCAAGCCAGATTTTAAATTCCGAAACTGTTAATGGGTCCTATTTACAGCCTGCATCAGCATTATTGTTTTTTGTAATTTGAGCATAAGCATAAATGTTAGTATTTTGTACAATAGTTTCTATTAATTGAGCAGAAAACAATTTTGAAAAAATATAAAATGTTGAAGGGTTATCTGATTCTAAATCATTAAAAGGCAGTGAAACAGAGGCTTTGTGTAGCAAAAATTTATGTTGAAAGGGTATAAACTTAGATGTAAGTGTAGATGTAGATTTATCTTTAATTTTTTTTTTACTTTTTGAATTATTTTCATAATCAATCTTAGTATCTTCATTGTCTACATCATAGTTTCAATCAAAAAAGCAAATATAAATATCATCAATTTTTGTTTTATCAATAAGATTTATCTTTTGATTTGAAATATTAAATTGTAAGTAAATTTGCAAGCAAGAACAATTGATTTAGTACTTTAAACGTAAATAATTAAGCAGGGGTATAATTCTCGATTTTTATTGGTTAAAATTCAAAATTTTTGATCTCATTAGATGTTTAAACATCATATTGCTGTATTGTAGACAATTAATGAATATAATACATGCGCTTGATAATAACTTATAACCAAAAAATCATATTATCAAAAAATAGTAAAATCGTAATAATGCTTATGTATTACAATTAATGATGATATTTATACTTAAATGCTTGAGAGCGCTCTTATAATTTTCGCTATGCCTTCTAAAAAGCCTAATAATAAATTTTTTTATTCAATCAGCTACCGAAGCTTCAACTTCAGTTGCACCAGCTTACCTTTTAATGATTTCGGCAATTTAAATTTTTGTTGCAATAGTACAGAATTAATTTTATAGTGTCTTTAGTGAAACTCACTTTGCGGAAACAAGAAATAAATTTTTTTTTAAAAAAAAAAATTTATAAGCAATCTATAGTAATCCCGCAGCTGCTACTTCGCACTGAAAGTAGCATAGATAATATGAAAACAGTTATAATCATTATCCGTTAAATAGAGAAAAGTATTTGTTCAAAATCCTTCATTTATGGGTCATCTCTACTGAAAATTTTTAAATTTAGATAAACAAAAAGCGGAATAGCAATATCCATAAATTTTGTACAAAGTTAGTATTGATGGATACTAGTTGAGTTGTACTGTATTAACTACGGAAGTATCGATTTGTTTTAAAGCTTTTATCATTAAAAATCAAAGCCATTTTTTGATTAGTTAAGAATTCATAGTTTATTATATTTGATACGTAAAAAAATGTAAAAGTAATACTTAAGTCAGATAAATTTTTGAAGCAATTTATTAATTTCTGATTTATTAAAAATTTGCCTCCGATAGATGCTTTAGTTGGCTAAGTCGATTTTACCGGCCATCCCAAATTGAAAATAGTGTGAACTCCATAATAGTCTATTTTTAGAATTATTGTTATGGTTTTTTCATTTACTAAAAAGTGGGGCATTCTTGTTGATCATTGCTATAAAAAAGACATTGCCTTGATTATTGGGTCTTTCTTTTAGTTACTAAAATTAAAAACTTTGATCGATAATCCATTAAGTTTGTTAGATATTAAGTAGTCAACTAATATACTTACATATAAAAATTGAATATGAATATTCATTCTGTTTCATTACTCCAAGGATCTAATATTGCTTCGGTACTTAATTATAAAATTTTAAGAATCAATGGTAATAATAAGTCACTCACATAGATGCTGTCCCTTGGAAGAACAGCATGATATTACCAATCTATAGAAAATTTTAGCCTAGACTAGAGGTTTATGGTCTTATCCTGAACCACAATTGCATTTGTATTTGTCAGAAGATTTAGGGTAAGAACCTAGACTTTCAGTCTATTATCTGAATTCTGTGCTTTGTAGGCAAATTTGCTTGCAAAACAATTTGCCTGTCTTGTATTACAAAATTTGCAATTTATATAATTTTGCAAGCAAATTTGCCTACAAAACAATTCATTTGTCTTGTATTACAAAGTTTGCAATTTACATGATTTCGCAAGCAAATTTGCCTGCAAAACAATTTGTCTGTCTTGTATCACAAAATTCGCAATTCACATGATTTCGCAGGCAAATTTGCCTGCAAAACAATTCGTTTGTCTTGTATTACAAAATTCACATGATTTTGCAGGCAAATTTGCCTGCAAAACAATTCGTCTGTCTTGTATTACAAAATTCGCAATTCACATAATTTTGCAGGCAAATTTGCCTGCAAAACAATTCGTCTGTCTTGTATCACAAAATTCACAATTTACATGATTTTACAGGCAAATTTGCCTGCAAAACAATTTGTCTGTCTTGTATCACAAAATTCGCAATTCACGTGATTTCACAGGCAAATTTGCCTGCAAAAATTACTTTTTGATGCACATGCAAGTGGGTAAATTATATCAGGAACGTAATTTAGAAATTTTTGTCTATCACACAGAGCTGGTTAATGTCTAGAGTCTATTGAAGATGTTTCCCAACATTGTGGAACAAACATGCTATTTGTTATTTCATACGATGACATGACAGGACTCTTTATTCCATTCTTTTACATTTTTAAAAAATAACTATGAGTGTTCTCAAATATCTCACCCAATGGATCAGAAATTGAATTGCAAATCATCAAAATTTACCATTGATAAAGATCGCACAAGTATTACTTTTACATATCAAATATAATAAACTATGAATTCTCTAACCGATTAAAAAAATGGCTATTTGGATTTTTAATAATAGAAGCTTTAAAACAAATCAATACCCTGTAGTTAATACAACTCAATCTTTAATATTGCAATAAATATTGCTATTCCGTTTTTTTATTCATTTAAATTTAAAAATTTTCAGTAAAGACGACCCAAAACTTTGAACAGATGCTTTTCTTTATTTAACAGATAATAGTTATAAGTGTTTTCATATTACTTATACCACTTTCAGTGCAAAGTAGCAGCTACAGGATTACTATAGATTGCTTATAAATTTTTTTTTTTAAAAAAAAAATTTATTTCTTGTTTCCGTAAAGCGAGTTTCACTAAAGACACTATAAATTGATTCTGTTACTGTTGCAACAAAAATTTAAATTGGTAAAATCATTAAAAGGTGAAGCTGACACAACTGAAGTTGAAGCTTCGGTAGCTGATTGAGTAAAAAAATTTATTATCAGGCTTTTTAAAAGGCATAGTTAAGATTATGAAAAATAGAAAGAGCACTCTCAAGCATTTAATACTACATATAAATATCGCTATTGATTGTGATGTTTGAGCATTACTATGGTCATTATATAATTAATTGATTAAAATGCTTAAAAACATCTAAACCCAAGAAATAACTAGTTAAAAATTGTAGTTGGTAGCACATAAATCCCCATATATAAAAACCAACAAATAACTTTTAAAGCAACCCTTATCTTCTTTGTCACATCAATTCTGTAGATATCCAGATTTTTAGTATTTATTATTGAGGATAAAATGCATATTATTTTGCTATCCAGATTTCTTGCATATTACTGTGCTAAATTCTTTCTTAACTGAATGATTACAGTATTTGAATAAACTTCTTGATAATTAATAGTCTTAAACTATTTAAATACTTGACTCTGAATTGAAATTGGAATAGATAGATATTATTTGAAACAATGAAAAAAATTACATAAAGGCAATGGCAACGAAGTACCTTATACATTATCAATAATTCCCACATCCTTGTAGAATTATGTTTCACATCAAATATTGGTAAAGAGAAAGTAGACATTGAACATATTAAACAAAAAAAAAATTCTGTATTGAGAATTACCTTGATTGGTTTACATTATACTAGGAAAAGGAGAATTAGTAGAAAAATAGTGCAAATATATAAGTTATACAACACCTCCAAGCACAATCGAAAATGATAATTACACCCAATATAAAAAGGTCTATATAGTCATTCTAGTATCACCTGTAAAAAAATGTAACTACATAGTAGCATAAAAAGCTGTCCTAGTGTTGAATAAAAAATAAATAGCTAATGTGATGGATAATCATGTAGTAAGGTACAACTTTAATGATAATAAGATTAAAATATTTTTTGGAGCCAAAGTTTTACAGAGAATTCATTCAAGGTTTAGCCTCCTGATAACAAAAAAAACTCTCTCTATAGTAAGGTAATTTGAAGTAAAAACAAAAAAATAAAATAAAAAAAAGGAATAAGTAAAATCTATATATTAATAACATTTGTAAAATCGACAAATAAAAATACCTGAGGGCATTCCCAAAGAGAAAAAAATTCTCTTAAAACTACATAGTTGTCCTGGCCGCCACTTTAGTTTAATTTTTAGATTTTTGGTAATAATATGTTTTATCTTTCAACTTCAATGATTAAAAGTTTCTACTAATAAACCTGTTTTTGACCAATGCAATAATATGATCTGATTTGAATCCTTTAATACTAATAATGAATATAAATATGCTCCTTCAAAGATTCTCTATATTAAAAGAAATATTTGGTTTTTAGACTCTTTAAGTCAGTACTCTTTTATGTTAACAGTTGTGCTTGCTAGCAAATCTAAACAAAAAAAATAAGAAATGTATTTGGCTAGATAGAGATGGAATCCATGGTTAAAAATGAATAATCAATTTAAAAACGAATATTTAGTTATACAAATTCGTAAATGTTTAATGAATAATTGCACAAATTCATGAATAGTCTCATAAACAATTTAGTATCTATGTAAAATCCGAATACTCATTTGTGGATATCCAAAA